CTGCGCAGCTACAAGAAGTCTTAGTTAATCTACTAGGCGATGCGGAGCTAGAGAGCCCTGTGCTTACCGGAGCGGCCGCGGGTCGGCGCATCCCCCCTGCTTCCGGCGCGCGTGAGCCCAGGGCGCTGCGGCGGCGGCGGCGGCGACGCGGTCTCCGATGCGCGCGGCCCCCTCGCCCTCCTGCCCCTCGTCTCCGGCGCCATGGCAGGACAGGATAGGCCCCCGCCCCGGCCGGCCGCCACGCCGCTTAGCGACGGACGGCGGGAGACCGGGGATGGAGCGTGGCCGTGGCTCCGATCTGGGTGGGTGGGGATCGACCGACGGAGCTCCCTGAGACGGAGCAGAGCTGCACACTTTTTTTTTAGTGGCAGCTCCACACTGAACTGTTATTTCCTTTTCGCCTGAGAAAACTTTACGCGGCCCATTTGGTCTTTGGGCCCAAGAAGAATAAGCATGCCATCTTCGCACTTTCGCAGGACGAGGCCCAAACTCTTTTCTTTTAGGGCCCAAACTTACTGTTGCTTTGCATGAGTGTACTTATTATACATTCCACTCAAATCGGTGGGAATTTTCCAGAATCGCTAATATCCCCTCACGTTAGGGTTTTTCCTCCTCTAGGCGACGGCGGCGACCGTCCCCGTAGAGATCGACTCTCCCCCGCCCTCATCTCCTAGCCGGCGATCACCGCGGCTCTCGGGCCTCGGGGACAGCGCGGTGCGGGGGATCGGGTTAGGGTCCATACCGCCCGCGGTTCACGACACCTCGGGCTAGAGATCTGATGGATACACAGGCGTCGAGTTCGGGCTCGGCGACCTCCGATCTGGAGGCCATGATGCAGGAACTTGGACTGAAGGAAGATGAGCTCCAGGATATCATCGCTAGGGTTCATACTGACAAACCCTACAGTCAATATTGGTTCTTTAGGAATATGAGGGTGGCGTGGGATCTAGCACGGGAAGTGAAAATCAGGCCGCTTGAGGAAAATCTGTACTCGATGCAATTCTCGTGCTTAGGAGATTGGGAGAGGGTGATGGAAGAAGGGCCATGGAACTTCAAGGGCAAGGTGGTGGTGCTTGCTAACTATGATGGCTTCACCAAACCATCTTCCATTGAGCTGAATAAGATAGATATATGGATACAGATCCATGACCTCCCAGATGGTTTCTTCCCAAAGGTCAAGGCACTATCTGCGAAAGTTGGTGAATTCATCTATGCTGAACCAAAATCACAGGACTTAGGGAACTTTGCACAGGTCCGAGTGAGAATTGATGTTACTAAGCCGCTAAAGAACGCTGTTTCTCTAGTGGTCAAGAGGAAGGAGGGCATGGAGCGGGTTATCTTCAGGGTGAAGTATGAGAGACTTCCAGATTGGTGTGCTGTCTGTGGGTATTTGGGTCATCAATTCAAGGAGTGTGGTGATGGAGTTCACCCACCCAAGGCGCTGGTTTTTAAAGATCTCAAAGCGACATGGTTCAGAGGCCCCGGCAATGGTCCAGGAGACGGTGGATCAAGGGGTGGCCGGGGTAGAGGCCGCGCTGGAAGAGGTGGTGGACGCACTGGTTCAAACATGCCATACAATCCCTCTGAAGACAAGGGTGCTACAGAGTATGACACAGCGATGACAGAAGCTGAAAATAATAGGAAAAGGGGTGCAATCATCCCTTCAGCCCCGCTGCCACCGCCCAACCCTCAAGCAGACAAGGCTCTCCTGCTGGCACCGTCAACAGCTCCTGAAAGTCCCCCACCTAAGCAGGAACCGAAGAGGAACAAGCCAAGTCCATCCACCACTGATACATCCACCATAAAGACTTTAGCCATTGGCAAAAACATTGATGCGCGTTTGGCGGGCCCCCATGGGGGGTCGCGCCTAGCGCAATGAGTCTACTTGTGTGGAACTGTCGCGGGGCTGGCAATCCCGCGACGGTTCGAGAGCTTCGTGATATCACGAGGCAATTTGCCCCCTCTGTATTGTGCATCCTTGAAACTCAGATAGAGGGAAGTAGAGTTGAGAGTCTTTCTGGTACTTTAGGTTTTAATAAGAGTTTTGCTGTAAACAGCTCCGGAAGGAGTGGAGGTCTTGGTATTTTCTGGAATGATGAATAAAGCTTGAGATTGTGGGTTACTCCAAGTATCATATAGATGTTGTTACGGATGAGCTAGCTGATTGTCGGACACGCTTTACCTTTGTCTATGGGGAAGCTCAAGTTAATGAGAGGTACAGGACATGGGATACACTCCGTGGCATTGTTGGTGCAAATGATATTCCGTGGGCTGTCATTGGAGACTTTAATGAAGTTCTCCACGGCCATGAGCATGATGGGGTAGGCAATAGGAGCCAGGGGCAGATGGACGGCTTCCGCGATGCCCTTGACACGTGTGGGCTTTCTGATATTGGATATAATGGGTAGTGGTGGACTTTTGAAAAGCGGGTGGCCGGAGGTACTCATACCAGGGTCCGGCTGGACAGGTGTGTGGCGAGTCCTGCGTGGCAACTGGCCTTCCCAGGAGCAAGACTTGAATATCAGTTAGCAGCTACATCGGATCATATTCCCTTGCTTCTACACCTACGTGAACCGCATGCATGCAGCCGGGCCCCACGGGCTTTTAAATATGAAATCTGCTGGGAACGGGATCCGCAGTTGACTGAGATTGTGACGGCAGGGTGGCAGGCGAATCCAGGAGATTCACTGGAATCGGTACGAGGAAAGCTCCAGTCGCTGTCGGGCGAGTTAATGCGCTGGGATCGCCAGCATTTTGGAAATGTGCGACAGCAGATAGGCGAATTAAAAAAGAGCCTACAGGTGCTTCGGGCTGCACCGAATCGAACTGGACCATCCCATGTTGAGACAAAAATAGTGGATCAACTAGTTGAATTATTCCATAGAGAAGGGCTATTGTGGCGACAAAGGGCCAGACTGGAATGGTTAGCACATGGGGATAAGAATACTTATTTCTTCCACCTGCTTGCTAGTCGTCGTAGGAGGAAGAATCAAATTAAAGAACTGC